ATCTTATACTGATAAGCATTTCTTATCATGAAGCCAAAATGCAGAATTTGTAGCATTTTTAAAGTAGGAGGTTGATTCCTCTCATGTAACTCTAGGGAATTTTCCAAGTGAAGTATATTCTGTGTTAGTTGGTGGCACCTACTGGCAGAGATAAGTCACTGCTTAGAGCCTGCTTTGCTTCTGCAGACGGACCCCATGTAGCAGACGGACCCCATGTAGCGGACGGGGGAAGGTGGCTGGGAGTGGGAGAGGAGTGGATTGTGTTTAGCCAGGTGGACGTTTCCTTTGCCCCCAGAAAAGGTCTGTCTGGTGAGATGGGAAGAGGGAGGAGTCAGGCCAGGGTGCTGCCCTGGTCAGTGTAGTGTGGCGCTCTCATTAAGAGGCTGTGAAAGGGGGCGGCCACATCCAACAAAATTTGGGAAAGCTAGGTTAAACTAACCTAGCCTCATTTGTAAAACTAAGAGATATTACAGCACCTTTAGTATCTCTCTTTTTTTAATTAATTTATTTTTTATTGAAGGATAATTGCTTTATAGAATTCACCTTTAGTGTCTTAATGAAGTATATCATCATCTCTGGGAGTGGAGTGGGGGCATCACTCATGTAATGCACCACATTTGTCAAACATAATTAGGCCATAGGATCCTTTTTTCTCTGAGCATCTCTTATGTTAACCTGGAATACTCTTTGGAAATGGTCCTCTGGTTAGTGAGCTTGAGAGCAGCATTTTCACTTTGGCATCTTCTCCTAAAAGTTAAGAGAGGGGACAGACATTAGATTCTCATGGTATTTGGTAGTTTGGAAATAACCACGTGTTGGGACAGAGTTAACGATGGTATCAGTGCAGTTTCCTTAGGATGGTGGTACTACATGGACTACATCATTTTGCCTTAGCAGTAATTTTAAAGCAGAGATAGACATAAAAATTACTGGGAGAACTTTAAATCAAAGCAAAACACATATACCTAGGCTCCATCCACCCTGGCCTCCTGTTTGGTCAAAGACATGCTTTGTTATTTTATCACATTTGAGACACCTTTGAGATCTAATAAAAACTCTGGATCTTTCTGGAGGAATGTATACACACTTTTGTGTATGACTTCATGATATTTATCACCCTCGTGCATACCCCGAAGCCCAAGAATCTCTAGTATAAAGAACTTATACCAAGTTTTCCTGAATAGGAATTGAATGGCAAGCAGGATTTATCCCAGAATTGAGATACCTGTGTACTCCATGAATTACTTGACCATAGATTAGACTGTGTTTAAAGAAATCGCATACTGTCACGGGGGTCAAAGGAAAGAAGCCTGTAGAGAAAGGCCAGATCTGAGATGGCAGTATTTTTAGTGTATTTCCCCAAGAAGGAGAGTTTAGGAGCTCACACGCCTAGAGCAGTGGCTGTCGAGTGGAGGGGGCAGTTTTGTTGCCCCGCATGCCCTCACCCACACAGCACACACCACAATGCACTAACGTTGGGCAGTCATTTGGAGATGCTTGCCTGGCTATCACAGTTAGGGCTGGGAGGGGTTTGCTACTGGCCTCTAGTGGGGAGAAGTCAGGAATGCTACTTAACATCCTATATTGTACATGACAGCGCCCCCCACCACCCCCCAAAGGGAAATTAATCTGGCTCCAAATGTCACTAGTACTAAGGTTGATCTGCCTTAGAGTCTAGCTACTTCTCGCTAGATTGTATCTTCTGTTGGTAGTAGGAAGGGCTAAGTGTTTTATATGCTTGTGGTGCTTCTTAGTAGGTGTAGGAGGAAAGAGATGATGATAAGGTAGGAAGTGATTAAGCCATGTTGGTATTTCCAAGAACTGTCCTTTCCCAGAAGTGTTGGAGGCTTAAAGAGGATTTCAAGTCTCAGATTGGCTTACCTCCTGGTTTACTCTGAGAGCTGGGATGTAGGAAGCCACCTTTCTTTTCACCTGGAAGGAAGGCTCATTGTTTGTTCTTACTCCACCCTTGCACTCGTGACCTTTCATCTACTAAACCTTTAAGAAATAAAAGTCAAAGCGATTAAAAAAGAAAAAAATGCCTGTGGCTCTGAGAAAATTCTATTCTTGCCACCCATTCTTATTCCTACATATAGCAGGTGGCAAAAGATAATGGGGACTAGGAAAGGTATATATTGTGTTTACCAAAAGTGGTCATTTCCTTTGTCTCCCAGAGTCTTTGTGTGGTGAAGCGGGAAGAGGAAGGAGTCATGTCATGCTACCGACCCAGTCCAGGGTTTACCAGTGCGCGGAGCTCTTGGTTAGAGATTGTAAAGCGGAGCAGGGAGGTGGGTGGCCATATCCAGTAAATTAGGGAGAGCTGGAGTAAACTAATCTAATCTGATTTTTTAAATTGTGAGATGTTACAGAGCCTTTAATATCTTTGGAGAAGGAAATGGCAACCCACTCCAGTAATCTTGCCTTGGTGAATCCCATGGGCAGAGGACTCATGCGGTTGCAGAGTCGGACAGGACTGAGTGACTAACACACACTTTAGTATCTTAGTGAAGTGCCTTGTGGTGTGTGTGTGTCTGTGGTGGGGGTGGGAAGGGAGGAAGAAGAAGGTGGTAGCGTGGGGAGAGCATGCACAGAAGCTTGCAGGATTTCTCAAGTTTCATTAGACCCCAGGACCCTTTTTACTCTGAGCATCTCTTGTATCACCTGGACGACTCTTTGGAAAAGATCCTTTGATCAGTGTTGCAGCATTTTTCCCTTTGACATCTTCTGAAGACTTTATAAGAGAAATTGAAAAAATATGTATTCTAGCCCCCCACAGTACTCTCTTAAATACAGTTTTACTAAATTGTATGTATGTCTTTATCCACTTTTGTCAAGTGTTAAGAGAACAGTTGCTGTTTTTATGGGAGGGTGGGAGTTTCCTTCTTAACTTTGTGAATAAACACTATTTCTCTGTTTTTGAATGACTGAAAGGAAGAATTAAATTTTCTTACTGGAAAGACAGTTGTTTCTTGTATAGTCTGCCTGCCTTTTTGTTTCCTCCTCGAGTGAGGAAAGTACTGAGGTAGCTTATGTCAGAATAGCTCTGGTGGATTTAGGCTCCCACATTTTTAAAGTTTTGAGTTCAAAACACTGCACATCTTTTTCCATCCATCCTCCACTTGGCATGCTCACCTCTGCATGTTTCTTCTTGCCGCTCTTTCAGAACCCAGGACATTGAGACGTTGCAAGTTGCCATGCCTTTGTAACTACCGGTCACACCCCAATGGTATGCTGAGACACTGTTCCCGCTTTCCCGCTGTTTCCACTTTCTCTGTTCCACTGTGGAAGCCTGCCAGCCTTATTACTCCATAAGTCCTCCAAGATGGCAGCAAGAGGGAGATGCTGGAGAGAGGAATACCACTTCTGTTTCCGTATTCTTCATCCTGCTTTTTCCATTCAGGGTCGTTTATTACTGCCACCACTCCAGACCTGCTTGGGGTGCTTGGACACTGCCTTCCTTTCTGACTCACGGTCGACGTGAACATATGGAGCCCTGCACTGCAGGCCTTGGTGTTCTGTGATCTGTGAGGTGTTACCGAGGAAGCCAATGGCTTCTCCTTATCAGGCAGGCATCTGGAATCTTTCTTTCAGAGTCTGAGGTCAGAAAATCGTGAGAAGATAACACTTGAGGGAAAGTAGCAGGGTGTGAGCAGCTTTGAACACCCATTAGACACCAGCCACTGTACTGTGCTCTCGGTCCCCACGGCTTTGCGTGGTTTGTTTTTGTCCGTGCATGGAACAGCCTGCTCAGGATTTCTCTTTCTCTCTCACAGACACACACACACCCCCTCTCTCTCTCCCTCCGTCCCTCCATTCTGCCTCTCTCTTTGCTTCCAAAGCCTTTGACTTTCCTGCTTCACCGTTCTACATCTCTAATCAGACCCTGCTGTGAGACCTGCCGACCACTGGTGTCACGCGTGATTCTTCTGCCACCACCTACTTTGGGTGTTTTCAGATGGATTGTTTGGAAATACTGTATGTGTCTTTTAACACTTTACAACTTGAAGAATGTAAAGGAAAAAGAGGGAAAATTTAAGAGAGAGGTTTATCCTCTACAGGCAATAAACAGAGTCTTGTAAACACTTAACTTCAACAGATCTACAGGATCTTTTTGACTAATACTATGGAACAAATGTTGTAGTTTAAATTATATACCCCAGTCTTGAAATTTTAGATTTGGGAAGAGAGAGACTGCCATCCACAAATGAGTCGTTCTCCCTTTCATAGTACAACTCTGCCACTTCCCCTTCTCATTAAGTTTCCATTTAGCTATTTAGGTAGGAGCTTCAAAAGGGAAAATCCAATCATGTATAATCTCCAGTTAATGGGCATCTATTGAGCGACTAGGTCACCAGAAAGAATAATTACACAGTGCCTCTTTGTGCAGTAAACACAAAAATCAAAAGCTAATGCATTCCCAAGGCAAGCCAGATTGTTACTGGCTAACAGCATCCTCCTCTTAAGGGAAAAGACTGGGCACCCACCATGCTTGCTAGGGGAGATGCAAAGCCATTCCTAAAAAACAGGACTATCAAGGGAGGAAAGAGAGAGGCAGGGTGGCTTCCAGGGCTTTGTCACTTCTAATTGCTGATGGCTGGTGTGGGTTACTGAATAGCAGGCATTCTAGTAAATGTTTTGTGCAATCATCAGGAACTTAGTGGGTCTCTGGGGCTTCTTTCCATGAGTTATAAGAGTAACAGCAATGATTGAGGTAGTTTCAGCCCCCTTCCCATAATTCAATTCAACCTTTTTTCTCATATACCCAACCTTCATAAATAGAAGGTTTATGCTTGCTTTTGTCCAACCACTAACTATATTAATTTATGAAGGATAAAAACACCCCTGTTGACCCAAAATGACATGTGTTAGCCATAAGTCAAACAGCTCTTGGGTTGGTATTGGTACACTGTAGTTTGGGTTTTCAAAATTATATTTTGGTGTAGTTATTTAGGATTTGCAAAACTCGGCGTAATTCAAATAACCTGTTTTTCCCCCCTTAGAACACTTCAGTTATGGAGGATCAAAATGAAGATGAGTCCCCAAAGAAAAGTACTCTTTGGCAGGTAGGAATGACGGCGCACAGAGAAGACAGCAGCCGACTTACTGGAGATGAGATGCTCCCTCAGCTCCTGTCCTCAGTGAGACTTAGAGCCACGGGCTTCTTTCTTCTGTGCAACTTTGCTAGTTTCAGAATCCACCCTAATTTATCTTCTGTTCCTTAGGGAGGTGTTATTATCAAGAATTTGGGAGTTCACAACAAGGTTCTGAAGTTGGCTGCAGCCCAAAGATATTCAGTCTTTGGGGCTACAGTCTAAGCACAGATGGACAGTGGTGGTGTCCTTTGTCAGCAGCGTGGAACCACGTACCACTGGCCACGTACCAGTGTATGCACTGACCTTCTCTCCCAACCGCCACCCTTCCCTCCATTTCCTTTGTAATGTTTGCCTTTTCGTTTTAAATTCAGTTTCCTTTTCTCCTGGCTCTGTTTTAGTTTGCCAGTTTCCCTCCCCACCCCCCAGGTTTTTGGTAAGGTGGGAGGTGGAGAGCATATACATTTCATGATTTGATGTTTTTCATCAACCATTATGGTACACATAGTTTTCCTTTCATGAAGATACAGTTGCAGGCAAAACAAATCTAAATCCGAAAACAATGATGATTAATAAAGAAAATATTCTCTGGGTTCATTTGAGTTGAAGCAAAGGAGTAGTTTAGTTATTAACAAGAATAAAGTGTCCCCAACAAATTTAAGATGAAAAGTAACAAAGTGGTGCAATTCCAGGAAGATCTCTCTGGGCCAAGCAGGTGGTTAGAAATAGAAATGGAAAATGTGCTGTAGAGTTAAGCACGTGCTGTTATTTTAGGGGGAACTGTGCGCAGACTGTTCCCTCCTTGGTATTTTGCAACAGGATTCTCTTGATTTACTATTGATTTTTCAATTCACAGTGGTTCTTAACACTTTCATTGTCAGGCTTTTTTCCATCTGCCTTTCAGTAGACTAGTTAATGGTATACCAGTGCTCTAGGGAGGCTGGCGGGCTAGGAGCCCTTCTGAAAATGACACAGTGACCCTTTTGCTTGTCAAGTGAGAGAATGAGTGTGAAAGTGTTTTGTGAGTTACAAAGCAGTACACAAATGCTAGTTGTCACCATACTTATGTTTAACCTGTTAGGAACGCAGTTATTTTGGCAAATTATTATGAAAAAATATAGGAAGAAAAGGGGAAGGAAAAAATACACAGCTTTCTCTCTCAAGATGAGGCACTTTTACCGTTTTCATGTTTATTCTTTACTCTGTCTTGGCAGGTACCCCTTAGTGCAAATTATTGTGATCATATGCTATATAAAATTCTTTTGTTCCTGATACTTCATAAACATGTTCTCTTCTTATTAAAATCTTACTTTAAATGGCCACTTTATAGTACTTTGTGTAGATGTATTATAATTCACTTGAACCAGTTGCCTGTAACTGGGTAGTTTTTTTCTAAATTTTCTTTATTATAACATTATGGTGAACATTCTTATGCTTAAAAGCAGAAAAGTTGCTCCTGTGCTAGCTGATTTTCACCACAGCAAATACTTTTAATTTCATCTGACTGTTCTGAATGCTGATGTTTTGGTCCTGTTCAGGACGAATGCTTTACCACAAGGAGCGTCAAAACTCTCTGCTCAGTGCTTCCCCCTAGTGGCGCCTGGCGTCAGTGAGCTCTCCATCACCCAAGGACTGCTAGGGGAGAAAATTAGATGAGGAAGTGGTGAGAGAAATGAGGAGGGAGATAAAAACCTTCCAGGTTTATACCTCTAAACGTCGACAAAAGAACTTGCTTCAGATAGGAAGGATTTTTTAATATTTTACCAAGGAAGGTCAAAGACTCTGTTGGATATTTACAAAGGATGTTTTCTTTCTGGGATGGGTTCAGTCTACTTTGTTAGGGGATGTACTGATAACAAAAGCTCTTGGTTCTTCCCATGTAAGACTTCTGAGATAAGCTCCTAATGGAACTAATGAATGTTCGTGATACAGTTCTTCAGTTTTCAGAATTCTCTTGTATGTTATTCCTTCTAGTGTTACACATGAAGAGGCTGTCAGAATAGTGATGGACAGATGGCCTGGCAAATGTTTGACAAAAGTATTGAGGTTATTTTGTTTGTAAACAGGGAAGTTACTGAGCTTTATCGGAAGCAGTTGTGGCTTCAGTCTAGGGATTTGGATTTTTTTGGATATTGTTGTCCAGATGCAGTGTATGCAGTTTGTTTTTAAAAAATGTACTGGTTGTATGCATAGGCCATGTAGATTTGATGAGAGATGCAGCCATTAGTATAGGAGTCTGTGGAATATCCACAAACAGACTAAGTAAGATGAGGAGCTTTTCAGGCATATGTGGTTTGCCTGGGGTAACTTTCAGAGTCGGTGATCAGAAAGAGGGAGTGTAAGTCTGTAAACTATTTTGTCAGCAGTTTAGCAGCCCTGGAAATAATACAGAGGCGATTGAAACTGTTAGGTAAAATAAAGCTATTTAGATTGAATTGCTTTCTGGTTTCTCTGTTATAGAGAGCAGTGGTTTTCAGCGTGAGGTCTCTGAAGTGCAGTCTTTAGACTGGCAGCATCAGCATCATCCAGGCTTTATTCCAGAGTGGCCCCTGGCAGTCTCTGTTAATATACTCTTTTGTTATCTGATGCATGCACAAGTGTGAGAACTGTTTGCATAAATGCATATAGCTTTACCTTTCAACTCTGAGGAAGGAAAACAAACCATTAGTAGTCAATTGCCACTTTGCCAAGTTGAACAGGTTTTCTCTGATGGTCTTCTCCAACATTAGTTAACTGATAACAACATAGTTTGGGAATAACCTTTGGAGGATGATAATTTAGGACACCACTTAACTTTACAAAGAATTCTGACTTTGTCATTTACTTTAGTGACTAATTCAAGTACATGATCTCTGAATATATTTTTAATTATTGCCTGAATTAATAAAGGAATGAGTTTGGCTTTAGGATAAAACTGGCATTTTAAGTATAAATACATGGCAAAAATATGTTTCTGATGAGACTATTTAGATTCATTTTCCTTGTCAAACTAATTACTGTTTTGTTTTTCTAAAATAGATAAGTAATGGAACATCATCAGTGATCGTCTCCAGAAAGAGGCCATCAGAAGGAAACTATCAAAAAGAAAAAGACTTGTGTATTAAATATTTTGACCAGTGGTCTGAATCAGATCAAGTGGAATTTGTGGAACACCTTATTTCACGAATGTGTCATTACCAGCATGGACATATTAACTCTTACCTGAAGCCCATGTTGCAGCGGGACTTTATTACCGCTTTACCAGGTAACCATGTTTGTCTGTAAAAAAAACCTGAAAAGTGGAAGAATGCCCATCCCAAGAGCCTAGGTGGAGCCACGTAGGTGTTTGCAAAGTGAATGAGTGAGTGAATATAGTGTGAGACAGCATTTCTTTGGGTTACACACTGTATTTTGATATGTGGTACTAGGAGTTATAATTTAGCATCTGTCTAGTGTTGACCACTGCTTAATACTGTTGCTACATTAATTAATGCTATTATATATATTTTTTGATGTGGTCGCTATACAATCTGCATTTTGCCTATGTAATACAGTATTTATTTTTTACTGTGGGACAGTTTTTCCTACAGTGTTTAGAAAGTGTCCTCAGATCTTAAGATGTTCACTTATATCTGAAGTGACATTTAGGGAATGGCAGAAAAGTATTGGGGAAATTGATAGCGTGTCTCAGTGACTTTCTTGAAACTTACTTCTCCATCTTCTCCCTCACTGCCTTACCCCTGCTTGAATGTGTTCTTCTCCTCCTTTGTCCCCCCTCCTCCCCGCCCTCCCCGCCCTCGACTACTTTTACAACAGTTTTCGGTTCGCAGCAGAAAGTAGTTTTCACCACCCCCTCCCCGCCCCCAACAGCCACCAGCACAGCCTCCCCACTGTCAGCGTCCCACATTAGAGTGGCACATCTGTTACAGTACGTGAACCTGCCTTGACATGTCATCATCACCCGGAATACTTTTTAGGGTTCACTCTTGATGTTGTCCGTTCTGTGGCTTTTGACAAATATATAATGACATGTATCTGTCATTATAGTGTCCTACATAATTGTTTCACGGATCTGAAAACCCTCTGTGCTCTGCCTGTTCGTCCCCATGTGATTTTTTGATCACTTGTTAATTCTTTTCCCTCTTTTTAAATTTTTTTTGTTTTAAATTTGTCCAGGTAGAATAGGGAGATTTCATTCTTGAAGAGAATTTGAGAATGCTGGCCAGAACACTTTCCTCTGACATGGTCAGGGTAGCCTGGAAGTAACAGCTGTCATGCCAGGATTGGCCTAGAAAGAGCAGTAGCATTGCTACCAGCCCTACCGTTTGTGAGAGCTTCTGGATGGCTCCTAAAGAGGAGCTTCCCTCTTAGCCTGATTGATTTACAGTGCATTCCCAGGTGGCACTAGTGGTAAAGAACCTGCCTGCCAGTGAAGGAGACATAAGAGGTGTGGGTTCGATCCTTGGGTCAAGAAGATGCCCTGGAGGAGGAAATGGCAACCCACTCCAGTATCCTTGCCTGGAGAATCCCGTGGACAGAGGAGCCTTGCAGGCTGCAGTCCATAGAGTTGCAGACTTGGACACGGCCGAGGTGACTTAGCACGCACACGTGACAGTGCGTCACACTCCATAGTCCAAGCATTTCCCACAGCAAATAGGGCCTGGGCCAGGCTCCAGACCTGAGACCTGGGGCTGCAAAGGGACATGGCAGCCTCTGGTTTCTGATCTCTCTTTCAGAGCTTGTGAGTTTACTTTCTACAGTGGTAGTGTTTAAGGATATTTGAGAGTTAGCTTAGAAAAATGACCCTGCTGTTCTTTTTGTGCTGAAAATAATAGCATTATTTTCCTCATTTCTTGAACTAGTATTTCTGGGAACCCTCTTTTTTCTAGAGTCATAGTATTTCATTGCTGAAAGGGACTTTCGGTGCCACTCAGTGCTGTTTTTCCTTAGATAGGTTATAAAGCCAAGGATCAGAGAAATTGGATGAAATGCCTAAGATCACACATCTTGGCTATTGTGATTGTGTGGTGATGATGGGGGTTAGTTCAAAAGTTAGTGCAAAAGCTGAAATTACTTGCAGTTAAGATTACTCTGGACAGTTCCTTAAACTGGTCCCAAGTATGGACTACATGGCTTACAATTCATTTCAGTAACTCATACTTTTAATTAAAGAGAGAGAGCATGGAAGAGAAAGAAAGAGATATACTTTTAATTGTATGAGAGAGAATTATTGGTGAATCTAAGTAAGGTGAATGCACGTGTGCTGCAGCTCCTCTGTGTATGTAGTTCAGAACTCAGAACCCCCAGCATCCATGCTCTGCTACTGGCCCAGGCTGCACTTCACACCAAGAGAAGACAGGGCAGTTTTTGTTTTTTATATATATATGTACACACATTCATGTTAGACGGGAGGTTGATTCCTTTACAGCAGCGTGCTGGCTTCCGCCATGCAGAAGTGGGGTCAGCCGTCGGCACGCGCGTGCCCGCTTTGAGCCTCCCAGCCCCTCCCCACCCTCCAGGCCGTCTCAGCCCTGAGCTGAGCTCGCCGGGTTACACGCAGCTTCCGTCAGCCCGAGCGGGCACCTGCACTTGTTCCTCTTAAATGCTTTTAAATGAATGAGGCTGTGCTTCCATCTTGTCAAGCAGATCTGTTCTGTTTGCTTGTGTGCTTTCCATTGTTTTGTTTTTTCTCTATAATTTGCTTCTCACACATTTTAGAATACCAGGGAACCCAACTTGTATTTACAGAGTATCCACGAGGTGGCACTGTTGAAGTTCTCTTGATTTGCAGAGTGTAGTTCGGAGGCAACCCCTTTTCTTGGGGAGTGTACAGAGTTGGAGAAGAGACAGAACAGATGAACATGTGTTATGTATATAAATATGGTTAGTATAATTGCATACAATTCAGTTTTCATTACAGCGAATTTTAAGGCACTGTCCATATCTCTTTTAAAGTGGAATTTTGTGGTCCTGAATATTACATGAAATGAATGGACCATTGGCTGGGACATGGAAATATTTTTGTTAAAATGCTATTTGTTTTAGCAGGATTTGATCTGAACATATATACATGTGTCAGTATATATCATACATATGAATCTAATAGCTGGGGACAGGCTGGCCAAGTTGACTGTGTCAGTTGCTGTCTAGTAGACTTGGATTAAATCTGGCATTAGTTCCTGAGCACAGACCGTGCCTCAGGAAAGAGCTTTAGGGAAGAAACGGGCCCATGTGTTTGTTCATACTTAGATTTAGTAACGTGTGGAGCAACTTACTAATCATTATTCTAGTTTGATGTTTAGCTTTTACTGTAGATGATCCTGAGTTTGAATTTTTACTTTGTTGAAATTGACAGTCAACTTAAGACTTCTTTTGATTGTAAAAGCCATTAATTCTATAAAAATGGTCTATAGTTTTCAATTTTTAATACTTGCTGTGAATATCATACCTGTCAGTATAGGGAAAATGGAAAATGTTTGTGGTCTCTGGCTCCTTTTGGTTCAGTGGAAAAAGTGATAATTATGATATGCTTTTTTAAAAATCATGGTAAATGTTTAGTCTGTGATGTCAATTTCTGCAGGCTAAGTTTGTGGTTTGTAAGAGCTGTTGTTAAAGGGAAAATTTATACCATTTGAAGTAGAGACAGATTGTACTTCAGGAAGGATGATAAGTATTGGTGAGGTGTCTGAGCAATTAAGAATTTTAAAAACACTTAGCTTCGTGGCCATGGTTTATTCCTTTGTCCCCCAAGTAAGGATGATAAACCATTACGGACTGTAAATGGGACAGAGATTAGATCAGCGGTCTTGGGAGCTGTGGAAGAACCAGAATGTAGGCTTTAGGTTGGATGCAGGACCGGAGGTCCAGTAATGCAGAGTGCAGAGGCCGGTTGTTGAATCTGACAGCCCCTCCATTTGAATCCCAGCACCTGCACCTAATATGTGAGCTCACTTTTTGGAGCCTCAGTTTCCTTATCAGTGTGGGAATAATACTAATACTTTATAGGATGTTGTGAAGATTAAAGATAATGTACATAATATGCCTGGCATCTGGTAGGTAGTTGGAGGATGACAGTTTAAGGGGGGGAAAAAAAAGTCCAGAGAGGCAGGAAACACCTGCTTCTCCAGGGGCAATGCGATTTATTGCCAGGAAGTTTTAATTATTCACCCACTGATTTCCGAATTGATTCATCCTGACATCATTTAGGTAGGTGTGTGCACCACTCTGTTGGCATAACAAAATGTTGGACTTTGTGACCTGAGCATTATTTTACTTCATTTTGGTCTGAATCTTTAGGTCAGTATATTCCAAGTTAAAGAAATCCAGTGACATACTGTTGCTGTCAGGAAAGAAAGTCTCTTACTTCAGGTTTTACAACTAGATTTGTGACTAGAGAGGCGGAAGGGACAGCAGGGGTGGGTGGGGAAGAAAATTTCTTTGCAGCTGCTCTTTGAAATGCGTTTCTAAAATAATAAAAGTTTCTGTAATTGTATGATCTAAGCAGCTGTCTTGAAACTGGCTATAGTCAAGGGCATTGAACTGACATTACACATTTGAGTTTCATTTTGGTGCAGTGTTATTTACATACTGAGCTTTGAAATTTTGCCTTTTAATTGTTTTAATTTATTATTGAAAAGTTTCCAGACCTTCATCTGGCGCGTGTAATTAGCACCAGCAGCACTTCTTCAGTACTGTGTGTGCAGTATTCTGGACTCATTTTCCGAGGCCGTAATGTGTCCTCTTATTGCCTTGGGAAGGGGGGTGCTATGGGAGATGGGGGGGGGTCTCAGCACTATAGAGTAAATGAGAGCCAGACACTGATACTTTAAGAAAATGCTTAGTTGTAACACCTCAGAGCACTTTTTAGCTTAGGCAAATGGGCCACCTTATTCAGTAACCTCTTTGTTCTGAATGGTCTTGAAACCAGAAAGTTATAAAGTCTTCATGGCTCCTGGGAGTGGCTACTCCCAGGTGCCCAAATAGAGTTTGTGTGATTCCTGTTCTTTAAGTATTTAAGGAATATGAGGTTTACTCCAAGCTCTTAGGGAAGACTTAGCGATTGCCAGGGAAGGTATGTCGTGTTTTCTCTGCAGAAAATAACAAGGGAAGGGAATACTGCTTAGCTTCCTTAACAAGTGATACCAGCTAAGGCAATTCTGCAAGAGGGAAGAAGAGAGACTGGTATTTATCAAGTGTCTGCTCTGTATGTGACTCCTGAATAACCTCTTCTTATTAACCTTCCCAACAGGGTTAGGAAGATCCTTCTATATAAAATGAGGCTATTGATAGCCTATCTCAGAGGGTTATCATGTCAGTTATAGGAGATAATCCATTTTAAGCATTTAATATTACTCTTATTTTATGGACGACTGAGATCCAAAAAGGAAAACTGATTTGCTTCCACGAGGTCATATGGTTCTATAACCAGTACATTTTCCAAGAGACTGAAACATGCTGCACCCTGGAAAGATGGAGTGAATTTAAAGTATTGACAAAAGAAAGAAATCCCCCAGATTTTACTGAGCTATTGCTAGATTGGACCAGTGGCATTTGAAAGAGTAGGAGGTATGTGTCTAATAATGAGTTTCCTTATGCAGAATCTTGCTGATCACGCAGAGGTGGCAGAACATCAGTGAGGACTAAAATGGATATTGTTGCTATAAAGCAGAAGTTCCCAGCATATAGGAATTATCTGGTGGTAATTCTTAAGAAATGACTCATTGGTAAAGACCCTGATGCTGGGAAAAATTGAATGCAGGACGAGAAGGGAACAACAGAGGATGAGATGGTTGGATGGCATCACCGAGTCGATGGACATGAGTTTAAGCAAGCTCTGGGAGTTGGTGATGGACAGGGAAGCCTGGCGTGCTGCAGTCCATGGGGTCGCAAAGAGTCAGACACAACTGAACTACTAAGCTGAACTGAATTCTTAAGAAGATAGATTCCTGGGTCCACCATCTACATATTCTGACTCAGTTGATGGGGAGAATATTCAGAAATTTATTTTTGCTACTATTGTTTCTCAAATCACCAACCCTAAATGAGTCAAGTATAACTGCATAGGCTTCCTAGAACCAGCTCACAGACCACCCAGCCAGGTGGAAGGTTTGGATTCAGCTTTCCCAGTTAATATACAGACCATGGGAATGTGGCAGCCATTTAGGCCTGAAAAGACAGCCATATAATGTATTCTTATCTATTTGTTTTCTCTCTCAGCAGAGGATTTGAGAGGGGTGTTGGTTAGGGATGTGTTTATAACCAGTTAGCAGAGTTTGGTTAATAATTGGAATTAACATAAACCTTGGCAAGTGACTGTGTGCTAATGTTAAGTGTAGAAACTAGAAGATAGTCAGATAAGTACCCCAGAATTAGGAAAATTGAGAAGAGCTAAGTTTATTACGCCATGGCTAAAGACGGTAAAAGTAAATATGATCAAAGAGGGTAGAGAGATTCTGAAATTTGAAGTTCAGATTAATAATTTGTCAATCTTGTCAGTGAAGAGGCACAAGTAGAACCTCATGTGATTATCCATGAATTTCCCTCATTTTAAATACACTCAGATGGAAGAAAGGGGGCTGGAGATATACAGAACGATAGCCTGAATCTTTGAGAATGGTATCAAAAAGTCCAAGCCCTGAATAGTGTGAAATTGTCCAAAATGGTTACATAATTTGGGAGAGTTAAAAACAGAATAAAATAATCCACTATTTGGAGCAAGAATGAGAAGAATGAAGGGATAGTGTACTTGGAATAGATGGTGAAGTGGTGATAGGAAGAAACAACATATTTTCACTCCTCATTTAACTTATCCTTTTTTCTTTCACCACTAAGAACCATGGCTTTAAAACTAGAAGGGTAGAAAAATTGCCCAAGAAAGAAAGAAGATATTTAGGAAACACACAGCTCCTGTAACAAGTAGACCTAGAGATGTTGTGTGCCAGGATAGTGACAGAACCAGATGTGTTTTTTTCCAGAATTGTGAAACATTGAGAAATAATTGCAAACCAGTAGGCAGAGCTGCCAGGTGTGCTTATGCATGCATACCTTGTACAGCTGTGTTTGGTCGCCTCCTGTGTGATAGTACCCAGAGGTGATTGACGAGCCAGTTTCCTGGTGTTTAAGAACCGGAGGACTAGAGGTGGCGTCTTTGGGAGGTACTGGCTGTTGAATTTGATGTTTCATTCTGGCCGAATTCTCAAATGGGTTATCAAAAGTTAATCTGCTGTTGAAAAGACTGTGTAGTTTTGTGTAAGCCTAGAAGGATATAGTGTACAGAATGTCAAAGGTCATTATCTCTTGAGCGGTGAGGTTTGGGGATTTAAAGATATTTTCTTATAGGCAAAGTTTTTCCAAAGTGAAAATGGGTTGCGTATGTTTAAAAGGGACACAAAGCAGGTAGCGCCAACTGGTAAACAAAAAATTGCAATGCCAACTTTATGTAGTAAGCACCAGCAAGGGAACACAAAGAGTAACCACATCAAATTCACCTGATAATGTAAAGATGGCAGTGTCTTCATGGGGCAGTTTCCCCAAGTGTCTTTGAGGACTGAATAGAGAGACATGGGCTGGAACATAGTATACAGTCCAGATAATTATAGAACTGGTGGCTCAAGGTTGGTACCTTGTATTTAGTGAATTGATGTATAATAGCCTGAAGGGAAATAGAGAATCGTGGGTGCTGTCCTTGGTTCTGACCCATTTAGCATGTTTGCCAACAGCTTGGAATAAGACTTACTACATTTGCCCATCATGCAGATCTGGTGTGGAATGTCCACACTTCTGGATGACAGAATCAGAATTGTAGAGGCACATTCAAGGGTCAGATAAAGCTTTGAAAGTGAACTATAGTGAGGATAACTGTAGACTTCTCTGTGAAGCTGCCCTCCCCTTTTAACCTAGCCATACCAATGCAGAATTAGGGGAGATTGTTTTTAATAGACATTTTATGGGGAGATGCCTAAGGTTTCAGTTCATCTTACTAACATCTTAGGAGTCTACTGTGATATGGCTGTTAGATGAATGCAGTGTAATCTTTGATTGCCTTATCTCTAATATAATGAAATGCACAAGAAAATATAGTGACCCCAATGTAGTTAGTTTTCATTATCAGATCATAACTTGAGTATTAGATCTAGTGTAGAGTGGAACTAGTATGTGAAGGGTCTGTAAACCATAATCAACAGTGTAAATACTCAAGAGTGGGAAAAAAACCTTAGTTTGTAAAGCATTTTTTTACATCATCTTGTTATATTTTCAAAATAAGGCAAATTATTATCCTCATTTTATACAGATGAGGAAATTGAGGCTCTGAAAGTTTAATGATTTACCTAGACCCTGTCAAGTTAGTGTGACTATACTGCTTCTGTTTATCATGAAAAGAGAAAATATTAACCTTGAATGATGCTTTGTCATCTTTAAAATCTTGTCATAAAACTTTGTTGATTCACGCAGGTAATACGAGAAAGGATAGTCCACTGCCATGTTAGATGGTAAAGAAAACAGGGGCTGGGATGTTTCAGTATTGTTTAAGTATTACTTTCATGTCATAGAACTTCTTGGTGGTGAACCTAGACTTGAAATTGGAATTTTCTAACTGTATGTTTAGTGTTCCCACTGCAACACAGAGGAGACCTGGGGATAGCTTTATTTCTTGTAGCTGCAGAAGGACATGTCCAGAACCACAGGATGGGAGTGTGTAAGTGGCAACAGTGTTGACCATGGGGATCGTCTTACCTTTGAATATCAGGCAAAGGCTGAATCTTGGTTGTCTTTGAAAGGATACTCGCATTGTGTAGGATTAAATCTCCTAAGGGTCTAGAATTTTTAGGATGTGGTTCATGGTTTTGAGGATTTTACCTGCATAAGAAAGAGATGGAGAAAAATGATTGACAAAAGTACAACTAAGTACTCTTGACTTAATTCTTGGATTGTTGTGTTTTTTCATAAGCTTTTTCATATAAGTTAGTGTCCACCTTTTTGTCTCCTTAGCTCCAGAGGATTCACATAGGTCATGGATTAATGGGATAATTTGTTATGAGAAGCAGTAAATCAAAGGGGAAAGAATGCAAACTTCGGAGGAAGAGATCCGAGTGCCACTCTTGGCTTCACTATCCTCTAGTTGTGAAACTGTGAATCCTGTTACAACTCTCTCTGCCTCATCTGTAAAACTTGGGGTGTCATTGCCCCATAAAATTCTATAAAATAAAATGAAAATAAATATTTTGTTATAACATCTGACAAATATAGAACTGCCCAGGGTTGACTTTTACATGCAGGGACTGATACCACCAGTTGCTTTTTCTTAAAAAATCAGAACCAAAAAGAAGTTTGTATGTTTAGGTACTCATGTACACGTGTATCTGCAGAACTTTTGATATTATTCAAGTATGTTTCCTGGCTCAGGATTTCTTTATCCTCTTATCTTTAAGGAAATGGTAGCTGGTCCATTTCCATCTCCCTTTCTATTCCTTCACTGCTTTTTGTGTTTTGTAGAGCAAGGCTTAGATCACATAGCGGAAAACATTCTTTCCTACCTGGACGCCAGGTCTCTGTGTGCAGCAGAGCTGGTGTGTAAGGAGTGGCAGCGAGTGATCTCTGAGGGAATGCTTTGGAAGAAGCTGATTGAACGAATGGTGCGCACTGACCCTCTGTGGAAGGGACTTTCAGAAAGAAGAGGGTGGTAAGTATTCAGGCTGCTTGTTCCCTTGAAAGACAGTTTCTTTAACCTAGGGTTAGTTTGAATACTCAAAAATGTAGTTATAAATACTGGCTTAATGTGTTGGCCTATTTTAAACAAGTGGAGAAAGATGCATGGTCAAGAGTTGAGAGGAGGAAAGTTAAAGCTGTTAGAATAACCTCTTCTGAAATGCCAATTTCCTTTATATTTACTAACTGTTGGATGTATTTTGATGTACAGTTTGAGCAGGTTGACTTTCCAAAGCTACATGTTTATGCTTTTCCTTTCACATTTTCCTTAGGTGTTGATAACATTACCAAGAGATAGATACGGAAAAAGGAGAGTCAGCTATTAGATATTGATCCTGGTTCAAGATGGGAGGTATACAGCAGGCCGGATTTTTCAGAGACAACCCATCGTCTCTGAAATACGGCTTTATAGCTCTGTACATGTCAGCAGCCTGGCCAGTTAGCACAGAGAAAGAGTGCCACAGCTAGGACACACGGGCAGTGATGTGAGTGGTGGCTAGGGCTATGTTTTCTTTATAGGAAGAAATTTGATATGTACTAAGTTAGATTTTTCACAAAGCTACATTAGCACTTTTCATTGAACTGTAGAATGAAAGGCTAGATTATTGTGTTGGGTATTCAGAAAATAAAAAGTTAGGATCATGTAAAGAACTGTAAGTTAAACTTATATCAAACATGTACATTTAATTGCCCGAAATCCTGCTTTTGAACTGTTAAACCTCAATGCAAATCAAAGACTTGAAAGATAGAACTTTGTAAGCACCATGTTTAAATAAAATTCACCCTTTTATGTGCAAATATGTAACATCTGTTTGTTTTTATTTGCCAGGGATCAGTACCTGTTTAAAAACAGACCAACAGATGGCCCTCCCAATTCATTTTATAGGTCATTATACCCAAAGATTATCCAGGATATAGAGGTAATTTTATGATTTATCTTTTTTTATGGGCTCAGTGTTCAGTTGATCTAAAAATCATAGAATAGGTCTTTTTTTTTAAGGTGAAGGCTTAGAGCAGATATGTTACAATGTGTAATCTGCAGCTATTCTTCAGAGTGGATAGTGCCTTTTGTGGGGGGAAAAAAAAGTCTGACTTTTCTAAAATGTGAAATGCTTTTGCAAGGCTGCCAGTTAATTGAAACCTTAATCCAAAATTACCTTTTTAATTTGATAAAATTTCCAAGGTAAACGTAGTTTTATGTTTTCCAGGTAAACGTAGTTTCCCGTTTTTGAGCAGCCTCGAGAGAACTAAAGAAGCACAGCCTCAGTTTCTTCTATAGATTTCCCACACTTTTCCATTAAAAGGACTCAAATATGATTCTAAGTAATAGTGAAGTGGTTTTTATAGAGCAAATTACACTCGTGGACCATTTTGGATTTGAGTGCAACTTCCCCAGACCAGTAAAACTCTGTGAACTTGATGAGAGACATTGGAGATGTTTGATATTGTTCATGTGTTCTAATTAGTTAGGTTTTATTATTTAGCCCTTTTCCTTGAGCCAGGAAAGACATGCACAGGCATTTCTCATTAACTCTTTCACATGTGTTCTTGGCGGGTCCTGGTTACTTCAGTATTTCCTCCTTGGCGAAAAACAGTTCACCTTTTGCTAGGCAGTGTTGTATCACACGTAAAGTTATACTCAGCTTCCCAAATGTGAAGTAATCCTCACCCCCAGGTGATAGACATAAAAGTTATTGTGCCAAAATTCATTAATAGAGAAACATGTGCTTTTTGTAGCCGCCCACTCTCTTTAAGGCAGATGTGATGTGAACTAATGGAACTGTTTGGTTAATGGTAAATCTGAATGTGACTGGAATATCATTATTTCAAGTGCAAGCTGTTGTCTTGAGTATTCTGTTCCCTTAAATGAGCTCTAAAGTAACCTTTTAGGGAAGTAAAAGCTTTAAGTGAGTTAAAGCTTTTGCCAAACAAATCCTAAAATTTAGGAATTAACTGATTTATTGACAGTTCAAAGCTTAGAATAAATTGCTCCAACTGTGTTAGTAACTGAGACATAGTGTTAACTTGGACCTTAAATTGGTGTGTGTGTTTCAGGTGAGAGGGATTGTCTTTTACCCCATGCAGTTTTACTAAGACTGCTTATGCATTTATCTTAGAAACTATATTACTTTTTATTTTTTTCCTTCCAACTATTCTTTATAACATATCTCCAAATTTCCTTGAATAATTTTTAGCAAGTCCTTTATTATAAGAAGCATGATGTCTAAGATCAATCATTAATAAATAGGAACTCTGCAAGGACTTTGATCAGGTTGAAGGTTTGGTGACATAGATTATTTTAATTTCCATGAGTACTATCATAACCGACAGTATGAATTCAGTTTTCTGAGGCATGACAGTATGTGACACCACCTCACATAACCATTTCTTCAGGCTGAAATAATGTTTTAAAGTTAGTGGAGGAGGCAGATGTGAGGGAAAACAGAGCTATAGGGCAAAACCCCGTTTGACACAAAGCCTCTGCATCACGGTGGTCTACCCAGTGGTTCTTAGAGTGTGGTTGACGAAAACCCACTGGTAGGCCACAAGAGTCTCCTCCAGATTCTTGTGGGCTAGATCTCTCAGTGTAACGGTTGTGTTTTATACTTTGGTACATTCACTCATAGTAATAATAATAAAAATAATGTACTACATATGGAGTGATTACTTGTCATAGATACTTTAAGCATTTTATAATGCATTTTCTCATTTTACACTCTGGACAATACTTGAAAGGTAAGCCCTGTCCCGATTTAAAGTTGAGGAATCTGAGGCTTACCCAGATTAAATAGCTTGCCTATGATCACACGGCTAGTGGGTAGTTGAGTCTGTGATCAACCTTACATTCTTCTGCACTCAATACAGCTTTTTTTTACGTTAGAGATCACTGGTACTTCATCAAAATAGAGTTCTTTACCTCTCTTTTGTAAGTGTGTTTTATCTTCTCCTGGGTGGACACACAAAGTAAATAGTTGTCTCAGTGATCCATGGATCAAACAAATGGGAGACTCACAGGCTCGGCTGTTACCATGCGGCTGGTGTGAAGCCCTCACAAGCAAACTATAGTAATTACAGGTACCCTCTTCTGAGCCCTTGCAGTATACTCATGAACTGTGTTGTGTGACTTACATAGATTATCGATTGCTTTTAATTCTTCCAAGATACCACACACACCTTAGAGTCTGTGCTTTTTCCCATATACTCTGCAAGGTTGCCAGTTCACAGCACCTTTTGCTTTCTCTCCTTCTAGCTCTACCTTGACAATTCTAGTTCATGTGCTGGCTCCTGTCATCTGTGCATTCCCATATTTGGCTCTGACAAGCAGATGACCTTGCCCTTCCACACTGACCCAAGAGGAATTGGCTAATTTTTAAGAAGAGTAGGGAACCTGGCTTAGTGTAGCCAAGCCTTATTATTCAGGAAATGAAAATATAAGAAATGAAGCCTGGAGAGAATAAGAATTCTTAGCTTTCTGCAAAGGTTCATCTCTCATGGGTATTCTTGCCACACACATGCACACACACAAAAACACACATATATACACATGGGTAGAGGGGAAGAGGGTAAGGGGGTAGGGTGGGAGGGAGAGAGTTTAGAGTTCCTCTGAATTGAGAAGGGATTCCTGGAAAACCTGAGGCACAGTCCTGAAAGAAACAACCATATTCCCATTGCTTTCTAGAGTCTTAATTGTTACCCTCATCATCATTATTAATAATGAGCTTACTCTTAGGCACTTTGCCACATTGATTTAATTCATTTCTCAAATTGTCAGAACCAAGATTCTCAGTCCAGAACCCTTCTGTCCTGCTTTGCCCCTTTTGTCCTCCCATGCCCTCAGGGGTTCCCCGACGGAGAGCTGAGAGCTGTGATAGCAGGCTCAGGCAGTCAGGATTCTCATGTCCTGAACTTGGGTTTTTCTCTCTGCCATCTTAGGGTAGAATGCCTCTTTCCTTTCCTTTTTTTTAAATTCTCTGGATTAAAGCCTTTGAAGCCCTCTCCTTGGAACAGACCACTGGTGAAATGATGGTGTGTTGTATCACACCTTTTAATAAACCACATTTTATTCAGGGAAAGTGGGGAGCTTTTTTGTGGTTTGCAGACTTGATATTAACATTGTCCTAACCAGAAAATGCCAAAACTTGCCCACCCACCCAGTTGTGTTTAGGCTTCTAAAAATAATGTTATTCCTTCGTACTCAGACATCTGTTTTCACTCTGTTGCCAATTTAAATGCTGCTGTATACTCCGTGTATCATGGCTACTTTCCCAGTTATTCTGAAAATTTGCACAGGGTAAGGGGATTTTAAAAGTTCTCAAAAACATGAAATATTCCTCTCCAGTAGCCATACCACTTGATGTCCAAGTGAAAGGCATCTGCATCATTAAAAAGGTGCACCTGTGTATGCCCTGTATTCCTGCTGCTGACATTAAGGTAATTGTTGAATTGAATTTGAAGGCTGAGCCCCTTCCTGGGAATGGTTGGGGAGGGCTCAGGCTGATCAGCATTGAAGATCAACCTAGACCGAGACAGCAGTTCCTGGCAACTGGTGAGATTTTTTCTGGTCACCACCTACTCCTTTTGGTCATTGGTTTCTACAAATGAGGAAGAGCATCACTGGTGCCATTTGTAGGCACTGTGATAAACACTTTACACACGTAATCTCATTTGATCCTTCCAGTATATTTGAGAAAGTACATAGTTTCCATTTTTACAGAGGAGGAAAAACTGCAACTCAAATAGTCCCAAATCATTTGCCAAAACTGCTAATTGACCTAGGTATTTTCTGCCACAATGGGCTGCCTTCCATTTTAAAAGGTCTATTTTTCTCTGAAAAAGACCTGGCTTGTATAAGCATTCTAATAAGAGTTGAGGTCGTCAAATATAGTGGTAGGTAGTATTTTGGGCAGGCACAGTCAGCAGGAAGTGTTGCTTTCTTTTGTGGGTGGCCTTGAGAATTGAGAGGAGTGAGGTCTCAGGAGTCACACAGGGTTGGAGCGCAGCAAAGCAGTCAGCTGCCAGGTCTGATTTAGTGTCCCTGTCCGGGCATTTTGAAACAGGCTGCTTTTGTTTGGGGATTCAGGAACCTAATAATTTTTAAAATTAGCCCTAGATGGGAACTTCCTAAAATGACCATCAAAAATTATTTGGTAAGCTTTTTCTTTTAAAGTTTGGAAATATATTCTAGAAAATTAGGCTCCTCCTCAGTTTGAGAAGCTAAGCCATTTCCTAACATCTACTTGACTTAGAATGAAAGCCTATTTATTATCTAGCAGAGCTTTTGAGAGATTCTGGCCTCTGGCTCTTGTTTGAGAGTTGGAGCTAGAGGTCTGGCTTGGCTCTTTATGTTGGGTAGTGTTCTTTGTCCAGACATCTCAGGGGATGGGGGTACCGCAGGCTGATGTGTTGCCTTACCCAGCTTCTCTCCACTGTGTCCTTGGGGCCTTAGGTACAGTAATAGTTTATAACCAAGTCACTAGGTTCTAGAAAACATTTTAGAGTAGTGGGAGTGCATGTAGGAAATTCTTTTTAGTTTGAGGATTCCCATACCAAAGTTAAAGAAAAATTTTTTTCCCCCAAAAATAGTGATAGTAAATGTGCTTTTTCTATTCATTAAAATATAGGGTAGCAAAGCTATTTACCAACTCAATAATATTTTAAAGCAATTGTGTATGTTTTAAAACTAAAAACGGTGATTTGAATTTTAAAATAATGCCATATATATTGAGAAGACAGGTTTTATATTCATCTTTGGAATACTTTGGGTTTATATGGTGTCACATTCAGTAGCAACTTTCTGGGCCCCTAGAGTGTAGCCTGAACACTGGTAACCACTGCCAAGAGTCATTGGTCATGAATAAGACTTGTTACCAGTAGATCTGCCTCTTAAGTCAGAATTTTCCTGGTGTGCTTAGCATGCTGAAGTGGCTCAGTCACTCTCTAAAAATATAGCATTTCTCTAAATGGTTCCCAGCACTGAGTTCAATTTCAGAGATTCTGTATAGTCTGGATCCCTTTTTATAAAGTTGATCATACAGATCTTTTGTCTACCTTGATAGCAGTAGCCACAGTGGAGTAAATTTTTGTTTCATTTTTTTGTTTTTGAAATGTGGCTTTATGTCTGACATTTTATAGATGCACTAGAGATGATGATGATGGCTAAGAAGCTCTGATTTGGTAGCAGACGTATAGATGAGCTACTTCTCGCTCTTGGGACCTCCGTGGCACCTCTTTGCATCCCCCTGGTTGTTGGAAATATGTGATCTGCCCTCTCTCTAGGCCATGTATGGGAACTCTTTGAGAACAGGGCTTTATTTCCAGGCTTCCTGTGCTAAGTACCGAGGCCAAAAATGAGAAGGCATTTTCTTTTTAAGTGTATATGTATCAATATCTCCATTCCTCAATTTCTTTTTCTGTAAAATGAGAACAGTAATTTTGGCTTCAGAGTCATGATGATCAAATGAATATTATAAGCTGTATAAAACACATGGCATAGTATTATGGAAGCATGGTACCTGGCATATAACATTCAGTAAATTATAACATTTTAGAGCATACAGAAGCTTATTGCCTTCAAAATAAGAAATGTGGTTCGTTAGATGTCGGAAGAGCCAGTAGTTAAGTGCTTAACTTTGTGAATAAAGGTGAGATTTATCTCCTTTCTTCACTTAAGCAATTAATTAAGCTTTTAACTACTCATATACGTCTTTTGAACTAGCATAACCAATTATTGTAGTCCCTATTGTCCCCTAATTTTGAGAATCAGGAATTTATACTTTGGTTGTCTTTAGTGGAAACATTGTCTTTTGATCCTGAAGATCCCTGACATCCACTACCAGAGATAGGTCTAGTGTTTTGGGCATGACCTTCCTCCTCATTAAACTTTGCCCACTCGTCTCATGCCATAGCACTGTATAAGACCCTTTAAGTCCTGCAGCACTTACAGTTTTTAACCACTCATTTGACACTGATATTTTATGTGGAGTTGTTACTGATCTTTCTAAGTTCTGTGTTCATTGCCTGTATACTTTGTGGACACTGCATATCTTAAAAGAAGAACCATAGGCTCAGAGTCAGGAAGGAACTGGGTGTGATTTCCAGCTCACCCAGTTACTAGTTTTTGTGGCCCCAGGCAAGTTAAACTCCGTTTCCTTGTTTGGAAAAGGGAAGTAATGAGAACTTCTTTGCAAGGTTAATGTGTGGATCGTTGAACCAAATAAACATGATTTAGTGTGTATCCAGTTCCAGTCCCTCTGTGCCTGGGGATTGAAGTTGCATCCTTTGAAAGTGCTATGCTTCCTGTCAATCTTTTCATCCCCGTGCCTGGCACAGTCAGTACCTGGAGTATACACCATCTCAGTAAGTGTTGTATGGATGATGAAAGAATGAAAATCAGGACTGGAATGTGCCGTTCTTTCTCTGAAGGAGCTTTAGTCTGGTGGAAGATTAGAAATGGGTGACAAAATTCTTTCTGTAGTAGTTGGCGTATGCTAGTTGTCAGTGCATTTTTCTCACTGATCAAGACATTCAGTGTTTTGCATAGATACACAGGTTGTTAGTATATACTTATGTTAGTGGTGGTCTTCTGCCGAATATTTTAATTGGCATTAAAGAATGATCCAGTGAGTCACTATTTGTATGTTTTGGGTGCAGATGGCATTGTTTAAGCATATTGAATTGTATCTAGGCCATTTTTTCCAAACCCAACCCACACTCATTGGAAATCCTTATGATAGTTGCCAGATGGGCAGTGAACGTTTGAGGAAAAATATTGTTGGGCTAATGTCTTACTTGGAAAGGAGTTTAATTCCTATCCACAGACAGCTATCAGACCAAGATGGAGTATCCGGGGTGTGCTGTTTCTGAAATGCCAAAAACTGCACCCTGGTAGAGCAGCTGATTCATGGACGCTCACCTGTCGCCTCCTTTCCCCAGACTATAGAGTCTAACTGGCGGTGTGGGAGGCACAACCTGCAGCGGATCCAGTGCCGCTCTGAGAACAGCAAAGGCGTCTACTGCTTACAGTACGACGACGAGAAGATCATCAGCGGCCTGCGAGACAACTCCATTAAGGTGGGCGACTGCACTCTGTTACTTCTAGAGCTGTGGGTGCATGCTAGGCCCTAGATGCAGCAGTCTCTCCATTTCCTCCTGACTGGTTTTTATCTGATTCACTCAGTCTTGGCAGCTGTCTGCTCTCTGCTAACACTAGACCCTTGGATCCTCTCACTTCTTTCCCCTCCCAAAGCACATTCACTTTCTGTATTCTGTATTTAAGCGCAAGTAGAGAATATCTCAGTATCACAGGGCTCTTGGTTACTTTGCTGACTGGTGAAAGTGTTGCTCACTTGCACATAAATCAAGAGTCATTACCTTTTATGGTTTCTGTGAAAGGCTAAGTTGATAACATAAAAGAATGATACAGCAATTTGTATTGTTTTTATTCACTTTTCAATAGTAGATAAACTGGATCATTTCTTTGTGTTTAATGTTTGATGGCGCTAACATTTTTTTTCATATTGTTTGTAGCTTATTTTCTCATATTTAAGAAAATGTGTGATTTTTTTACCTTTTGGTTGTAATTTACACATGCTCTTTTGGTGTAAAGTTCTGTGAGTTTTGATAAGCACAGATAGTTGTAGAACCCTAGCAGTAATCAGGATCCAGAACAGTTCTGCCATCCCCCAGATTCTTTGTCCTGCTTCTTTGTGTTTACGTATTTTGTTCCTCAGGTGCTGACAACTACTGGTCTTTTTTTTTTTCTGTCCCTATAATTTTGCCTTCTTGAGAATGTCCTGTAAATGGATTCACAGTAAAACCTTTTGAGTCTAGGTTTTTATACTTAGCATTGTGCATTTGAGATTCTGCTATGTTGTTGCATTTAATAATAGTTGATTCCTTATTATTGCTGAGTAACATTCCTTTTAATGGTTACCCTACAGTGTGTTTATCCATTTACCTACTGAAGGACATTTGTGTTTATAGTTTTTCACAATTATGAATAGAGCCACTATAAACATATGCATGCATGTTTTTTGTGAGAACATACTATCATAATTTGCATTGGCCATTTGTAGTCAACTTTAGGAACACTGCAAATTATTATAGTATTTTTACAAGGGAAGAAAGAGGTGAAAGTGCTAGTCAGTCACTCAGTTGTGTCTGACTCTTTGTGACCTCATGGATTGTAGCCCACCAGGCTCTTCCATCCATGGAATTCCCCAGGCAAGGAAGTGGGTAGACATTCCCTTTTCCAGGAGATCTTCCTGACCCAGGAATTGAACCCAGGTCTCCTGCATTGTAGGCAGATTCTTTACAATCTGAACCACCAGGGAAGCCCTAAGAAATAGGTCTACAGAATCTGTTTTTAACAATACAGTCTTCGAAGAAAATCACTTCCCATCTTCCCCATTATTTGTGGACAGTCTTGAAAACTTGGAAACCACTGGAAGGATCAAAAGAAGGGAGAAAAACAATACTCAGAGTATAGAGCCAACTGTCACCATTTTACTTCCTTTTAATCTTTGCTTTAAAACATACATAGTATTTATGTCAGACTTTTAGTTTCGAAAAACATAACTTAATAAAGCAGTGTGTTTTCTCATTAAAAACTCTCCGTAATTTACTGTGAAATTTTTTGTAAAATGCTGAACATTTTTCATTTTAAAATTTTCGTAAACAAATGTAATGGGTTAAAGAGTATGCGTTTTTAAAAACTCTTAATAGATATTGTCATATTGTTTTCCAGAGGGTGAGCCAACTCTTTTCACAGAGTTTATTTAAAAATTCTCTTTATAAGGCTGTTAAGTATAATGGACACAATAGTTATGGGTATAAAGTAAACAAAATAGTACATCTGTTCTGGAAGTTGTTCAATATTGCCTCTTCCCCGCTCGTCATTTACCACCTGTTTGATGTTTATTGCTCTTATTTACTGGAACATAGCTTTGTTTTGTTTTATGATTCAGAAAATAAGGTGAGATAAAAACATTTATCAGAATGTGATATACTAAATTACTGTTTGTGGTTGATCTTGTCTCAATAGATTTGGGATAAAACCAGCTTGGAATGTTTGAAAGTGTTAACGGGCCACACTGGCTCTGTCCTTTGTCTCCAGTATGATGAACGTGTCATTGTGACTGGCTCTTCAGACTCCACAGTGAGGTGAGGATCTGGCTTCCCTAGTCTGAACTTGTATACCTTCCATGAGGAGATTGAGGCTTATACCCTCTTCTGCAATAAAGCACACACGTACCCTCTATATGTTTTTGTATGCTCTATTTAAAAACCACTTTTTGTGTAGCTACATTAGAGCAAAGTAGACAGGAAAGCTAATTCTGTTAAGTAGGTCCTATTCCCATTCCCATACGTTACAGAGATGGCAGCCTGCTTTCCTGTAAAAGCTCATTATCTTGTATCAAGCTAGCTTTTCCCCGGAGACCATGCTACAGAGGGGAGAGGAAGGAGGCGGGGTGTTTTAGGAGTATGATGGGTAGTAACCTATGGATACTAGAAAGAATCGGAGGCAGTTATTTGCACCACTTTTAATAATGTGCCAAATAATGTGCCAGATATTTTGTATGATGTTTTTCTGTTGAATTTTCACAGAAACCTTTCCAAATAGGTAAATAGTATCTTCTTTTATATAGGTGTAGTTTTGGGAAACTGAGGACAGAGAGGCAAATCATTTACTCATATAGTTAATTTTGAGCCTTGCATTTTTTATCATTCAAGACTTTGTTGATGTTATGTAGCTTTTCCAGTAGTGGAGACTCTAGTTCCCAGATGCCATCACAGGGCCCGGGTAATGAAGACGGAAGTGGCCGTATTCTGTAGTAGAAGGGAAGCTGAGATCTCTGCTTGGGGTTGAGAGTAGAAAGGAAACCTTACTTGAGTCTACTCCTAAACCCCTGGGACAAGGACGTTTTTCACTCCAGATAGTTTTGGGTTTCGGTGTAGTGATGAGTTCACCAGAGCCTAGAGATAATATGGTACAGCCTCAGCTGGACCGCTGGTAGCTGAGAACGGCCTGCCCTGTGGAGGGAAGGAAGCGCCTCTCCTAGGGTGAGTCAGAGGCTTGAAGAAGGTTGTTTTACAGGCACGCCTAAGAGAGACAGTTGCCAGCACGCCTATATCCTTTGTCTGACTCAGGGCTCCAGGCTACGCCTGCCGACACAGATCAAGACTCTTCCTCCTCTCCTCCACACAGACTTCTACCCTTTGGGTTTGGGGTTACAGAAAAGGTAGACACGAATGGATTGCCCCTAAGAGCCCTGTCCCTTAACGGTTAAGGGAGCTGGAGACGCCGACTTTGTCCATACAGTGGTCGGGTAAGCAGATTGGTGTGGTGACTCAAGGGACACCACGACTTAGAGTCTACAGTTTGCAATGGATAAATAATAGACTCAGAAGCTTGCCAGAGGTCATAAAGAATCTCATGCTTGGAACCCAGCCACCAAGCCATCTTCTCTGTCATCTTGGGCTCATTGCAAAGCTGACTTCCTTGAATCATTTTTTGTCACCAGCACAAGCCTGCAAAAACCATCCCTGAATACCTGGGCAGAATTGACCTTTTTGAAACCACCTGAACGTTTCTTCACAGATAGGAAAATTGCTTCTGGGGGCTCCTTGTAATCATGGTGTCAGGTCCCAGTCACCAAGTACATGTGAAGCCCACACTTCCCAGCCTGCTGTTAATATTAACACTGACACTGGGCTCAGAGCACAGACCCTGGCATCTTTTCCTGGTCGTCTCCGCAATGAAGCATTGTGCTCCTTTTTTCCCTAGAGTCTGGGATGTGAACACAGGTGAAGTTCTGAACACACTGATCCACCACAACGAGGCTGTGCTCCACCTGCGCTTCAGCAACGGGCTGATGGTGACCTGCTCCAAGGACCGCTCCATCGCCGTGTGGGACATGGCCTCTGCCACCGACATCACTCTGCGCCGCGTCCTCGTCGGCCACCGGGCCGCCGTCAACGTGGTGGACTTTGACGATAAGTACATAGTGTCTGCCTCTGGTGACAGGACCATCAAAGTGAGTGTGCCCACAGTCAGAACTCTGTTTGTTCCCATCCCTTCTAGCACATAGAGAAAGCCAAGGTGGCTTACACCAACCTCGCATCTGGCAGGATCTTGATTCTCCTCCACTTGTGCCTGTGAGACATCAGGGCGTGCTCATCCTTTGTTTCTAGAGTCACAGGCAAGGTCTGAGGAGAGGGTCCTGGGCAGTCCTCTGTCTCATGAAAGGAGGGTGTTACTGTTGATGACCTTTCTGTGGGAAGAGCGCCCTGCGGGACATGTGTCATGTACCAGGTGCTTCCCATCACTGCCCACACCACCTTCTTAGCACTCTTGCTGAGCCACGTTTTATAGATGGGCTGGGCTGGAGACCACCACACAGCTGTTCAGTGGCAGAGCTGAAACTTGATTTATTCACCTGACCTTGAGAGCCTGACATGCCATCGACCCTGGGCTCTGTGCTGAAGATGCAGTGCTGGGCAGGACACGTCCCTGCCTCCAGGGAGCTCAGCATGTGGTACGAGGCAGACGTGTGATGCGCAGTCGTAGTCCCGGGTGAGCCGTCAGACGTGGCGAATGCACTGCTGATTCCGGTGTCCTTGTGAACTTGTAAACCGCTTAGCTTTCCTTTCATTCTTATAGCGGCCTTATTGAGATATAATTCATATACTATAACATTTATCATTTTCAAGCATACCATTCAGTGATTTAGTATATTCATAGTGGTGTTTGACTCTCACTAGTTACAGAACATTTTCATCACCCTCCATAAAAACCTTATGCCTATTAGCAGTCAACCCCTATTCTCTTCCTCTGATCCCTGGCAGTGTACTTTCTGTCTATAAATCTGCCTATTTTAGATGTTTAAGGTAAACGTAGTGATGTATTACGTGTGGCTTTTTGTGTCTGGCTTCTTTCACTGAGTGTAGTATTTTCAAGGTTCATCCATGTACTTTGTAGCATGCATCAGTAGTTCACTCCTTGTGATGACTAAATGAAATTCTGTGTGTGGATGTTCCACATTTTGTTTATTCATTCATTGGTTCATGAACATTTTGATTGTTTATGCATTCTATGTATTATAAATAATGCTGCCATAAATATTTGTGTATAGATTTTTTGCAAGTACATATATTTTTAATTGTCTTGGAATGGTAACTCAGTGTTGAACATTTCGAGGAGCTGTCAAACTGTTTTCCAAAATGACTTCACAGAAACCTTCCTTTTATGACCTATACTACCAGCATTCTAGTATCTAGGTCCACACATCAAGACTAGATTGCATCAAACTTCAGATTGGATAGCCTGGAAGCTGAAAAACTAGGATTTATGGCAACTCACTCATCACCCAATCACACCAATTTGTGCAGGACCAGTGTCTGCAAGCCAAGAGGGTTTGGGCCCTATTATAAAACAGATGTTGAATAATATCAGCCCAGATATTTCTCCATATTCTCACTAACACTTGTGTGTGTGTGTGTCTGTCTTTTTTATTATAGCCATCCTAGAAGGTGTTTAGTAGTATTCTGTCTGCAGTTTTGCTTTCCATTTTCCTAATGACTGATGATGTTGAGCATCTGTTCATGTACTTACCATTTTTATAAGTTCTTTGAAGAAACATCTACTTAAATCTTTTGCTCATTTCAAAGCTTAGATTATTTTTATTATTTTTTTTAATTTTTTTATTATTATTTTTTTATTTTTATTATTCAGTTGCAAAAGTTCTTTATATATTCTGGTTACAAGCCCCTTCTCAGATAAGGGCTAACATTTTTACGTTTATTTTCTGGCTGTGGGGCGGTCTCTGCTGCTGCACGTGGAGTTTCTCTAGTTGCGATGAGCAGGAGCTACTCTTTGCTGCGCTGCACGGGCTTCTTACTGTGGGGCTTCTCTTGTTGCAGAGCATAGGCTCTGGCGCATGGCTTTGTTGCTCCATGGCACGTGGGATCTTCCTCAACCCAGGATCAGGGCGGTGTCCCTTGCATTGCAAGGCGGATTCTTAACCACTGGAAGAAAGTGAAAACAGGGAAGCCCATGTTTTCACTTTCTTGATAGTGTCCTTTGAAACACAAATAATTTTAACTTTGATGAAGTTCGGTTTACCAGTTTTTTGTTGTTGTTGTTACTTGTACTTTTACTGTCATATCTGAGAAGAAGTTGCCTAATAAAAGGTCACAGAGGTTTACTCTTATGTTTTCTTCTGAGGGTTATAGTTCCAGTTCCTTCATTTAGGTCATTGGTCCATGCTGAAGTAAATTTTTTATACAGTGTGATGTGGGGATACAACTTCACCCTTTTGCCTCTGGATATCTAGTCATCCCATTCAACTACAAATGCAGCTAATAAAATAGTTCAGGGCACACAGGTTGCTTTGTGTCTCATTTGGCCCGTATGAAGTGTGTTTGTGGACATCTGAGTCTTGCAGACAGCTTCACAAAGGGGGGAATTATTTATTCCACATACATAATATTAGGGGTGGTGTGTCAAAACAAATGGAGCTGTGTGAGAAACTGTGCTGGGAAAGAGGAGGATGTGAGAGGTGAAGCCTTTTCACATCAGTTACATTGGGTCTGACATGTCAGCTGGCGTAAAAACGTGAAATCTGGCCCAAACCCTTCGCTCTAGGCAAGTGAATGTTGGAACCCTCCAGGAGAAGTTCTCTTTGTGAAGATCTCAAGGTTTGGAGACTTCACAGCTCCCTCATTCCAGTTTTATCACTCCACAGCTAAGAAAATGTTACCCTGTCCAATCTGTTTCCCAACCTCCCCAGCATATTTCCTAATCAAGTATTTTGGTCATTCTTAAAAGTTCTGACTTTGTTTTAAGGTATCTTGTGGGAGAACTTTTCTGCATTCATTCTTAAAAGCATTGTTAATTGTCGTACAGGTCTGGAGCACGAGCACCTGTGAATTTGTTCGCACTCTGAATGGGCACAAGCGAGGCATTGCCTGTCTCCAGTACAGGGATCGGCTGGTTGTTAGCGGATCATCAGACAACACCATAAGGTGGGTGGAAGTGGGTGTGCCGGCGTGGGGGGTCATTGTCGCCATCGTGTTGACTTCTCTCTCAGTCCTAATGCTCTAAAGAGTTGCTTTGGGGGGCTGCTTCAGATAAACAAGCTTTAGGTACTGCTGTGTATGTCTGGCTCTGCATACTAAAGTGGGTGAATTGTGTATGTCCTGGGTGCTCCTGCAAGATTCCTCCAGTGCACAGGGTCTTACAAGCTCACCTCCACCCAGAATCCCTTACTACCCAAATGCCTCAGAAGAGAGGATGCTCCCGTCTGATGCTCTGCTTCCCTCACCTGTGAGCTCCTGCCTTTCTCCCCAGCGCTCCTCATTCCTGCTTTCTAATAAATATGCCGATCCTTAAATACTTTTTGTTGTATGAAAAACTTTCCTCAAAGATCTACTTAATTTTCCCAGGTCTTTTCCCCACCATCCCAACATCTGCTAGTAACTTTTATAAACAAATTGGCTGTTTGAGCAAAATAAGGATTTGGTTCAAGATTATTTTTTTTTTAAAAAGAATGAAAGCAGACACAATATAGCTATAACTGCCAAGAGTTTTCTTTACCATTTTAAGTGTGAAGATATCATAAAAGTCTGTTGAGAATTTTAATCTTGGTTCTGTTGCATTCTCTGTGCTTTGCATTATGTAATATTTCAACAATAAGCAATCCTTAACTTCCTCATTGGAATCTCTTAGCTTTTGCAAAATAATAATGTGCATTGCTGTCTAGTTTATGGAAGGGAACCTCTGGAGTCACAGGGGCAGTGCTGACTGGCTGTCTTCATGGTAGATTAGGAAGCCACCCTCCCTGATTGTTGAGAGCTGTTGCTTAGGATAGAATAGTCATTGGATGTGTGACAGGAGCTACTGGGCTCTATTACTGGAGGCTAAGAAAACATCAATATAGATTTGCCAGCTTTGTTTGTGCATATTAGTTTACTGTGATTTCTTCTTTGCAAATAATGTGGATATATCCATGATAATATATTAAAAAAAACTTTATTTCCAGAATTGTTACATAAATCGTACACAGAGAAAAGGGCTGTGTAGTCAGTGGGTTTGTATTTCTAAGACACTGCATGTAACTACTGAGAGGCACCCACTGTGCCCTGGGTAGCCTGCGGATGCAGTCTGTACCTGTCGTAGGAAGGGTCTGTCCCTGAGCTAATCAGGAGGGGAGACCACCGGCTGACCCATTGAGTCTGGTCACAGTGGGCCTCACGGCCCCCAGGCTCCAGGAGCCGGGTTTGGAAGCCTCACCCCCTGGGCCGTCCCTCTCATCTCCCCTACACCCATATGCTTTTTCGTCTTTACAGCCTACAGTCCCCATTTCCCCAGAAAAGTCCTTCCCAGATCATTTGACTGCTTGGTTTCATCCATTCAGACTTTACTAGAATGCCTAGGAACTAAGTATAATTGAAATTTCTTGTTTGTTGGTCTTATTTAAATAACAACAACATGATTTTTAAAAGTTTCAAACTATATAAAATGAAATACATTGAAAAGTAAGCCTTCTTCCCAAGTTCTTAAAAAATACGCGAATAAGATACACACATGTATGTTTGAATGTGTGTAATGTGGACTAGGAGTGAAGCAGAAATAAGGGATCCCAAGATAGTGAAGATGGTGTGGATAGTGTGGTCATGTGTAGGAAGCTGACTCACGGAGCTCTGTTTTTCACTGAAGGCTGTGGGATATTGAATGTGGCGCCTGTTTAAGAGTCCTCGAGGGACATGAAGAATTGGTCCGATGCATCCGGTTTGATAACAAGAGGATTGTCAGTGGGGCCTATGATGGGTATGTGTTTCAGATTTTCAGATGGCACAGCCATAACTATATGAAGAGGAACAGGAACTACTGCTTACGAAGCAGCCACGTATTACTGGGCTGCATGCTTGGTGTTAGTATTTCCTACGTAATGGTGGATGGCGGGTGTGATACCGCTTGATGTGTGGGAACACTCAGGCCCAGAAGGATGAACTGCACTTACGCTTTTAACCATTGTCGTAAACTGAAGGGAGTAGCTTAGGCTGTGTGGGAATTCAGCTTTGTCCCAGCCCTCAGTTAAACCAGGCTTTTTTGTGTGTGTATGGTGAATTCAATGATAAATTTCTTTCCCTCTTTTGGTAGATTGAACACATCCTCTTTAAAAAGCCTCATGACTTTTAAAATGAGCAAATGACAACCATAAACCTTTCAAGATGACCTTATATATACTTCACTGAGTTGGTTGGTCTGTTCATGCTCCTATTATTAACTTTGAGCGTCTGCTTAGCTTGAAGAAAGGTGTCTTTGGGATCTCACCGAGAGCCCTACTGTCAGCGGCGCCTACTCAGCCCGAGCGAGCCCCCTGATGAATGGACTTGGTGACACAGGTTATCACGTCAGGAACTGAATTTGGATAACATGAAGCTGTTTTCTTGTATCCCCTCAAATAATATTTCTTCACCATTTCAGCAATTCTGAGAATGTATAGGTCCTTATTTCTTCCAAATCAAGTGTAATTGGTTTAAATACCTTGTCAGAACATCAGTAGGTTCCCCACTAGCTTTTAAAAGAGGCAGTTCAAACGCTCTCCGTTTTGTCAAGGAAATGCTTGGCGGTGTGTAAAACACTAACTTTCCCACTCATTGTGATCTCATCCTCCTTTCTAGGAAAATCAAAGTTTGGGACTTGCAAGCTGCTCTCGACCCCCGAGCCCCAGCAAGCACGTTGTGTCTGCGCACATTGGTGGTACGTGATTTGTTGAAATGGGGAGTGCTTCCCTGTGTTGCCAGTTGGCCACCTGCAGATAGACCTCCCTGAGCCCTTCACGGGAAAGCTTCTGCATCTCACAGCGTTCCTTCTGAGAAATGGACTCTTCCATTAGTTTGGTCAAAACCAGAAACTATTTTACATTCATATTACTGTGAGCTCTTTCCTCGGGAGTGTTAACACAGCTTAAAATATGAAAGCAGGCCTCCTCATTTGTAGATAGACTGGTTTCCTCCTGGAGCGTGAAGTATTTCCCGTCTGCAGGTTTGGGAGATTTCCTAATATGAGTGTCTGTGGCTGGGTTGTGTTTTACAACAGCACGTTTTGTATGTTATGGTGAACTTTCCCCTCAATCTCTATTCTAGGCATTATTGCTGGCATACAGGAATACTTGTTTTTATATGTTAATTTTATTTTAGCAAGCTCATTAGCAAGCTTACTTCACTAAGCACATTATTTCTAATAATCTGTTTGCTTTTGTTGTATTTTTGAGGAGACAGTTGTCTAAAAATATGAATTGATTTTTTTCTTATTTTTAATAGTTTTACCTTCTATTTCTTCCCTTCTTGGATTAACTAGAACATGCAGAACATTAGTCAGGGCCATTCTTGTTTCTTTCTTGATATTAATAGGAATACTTCTGATATTTCACCATTAATTTCTGTGTTGGTTGGGGTTTGAGATAGGTATGCTTGGTCATGTTAAAAATACTATCCTTCTGGGCATAGCTTTTACAGTGTATCAAGAATAGGTATTAAATATTGTTGCTTATCTTTTTAAGACTTTTTGTGAGACAATCACACAGTTTTTCTTCTTTGACATATTAATGGGCCAGAATCTAGAATACAAAGTTAAAGAAAACCCTTGAAGTAGAAGCAGAATATGTGTTCCTAGGGTGAAGGACAAAGCTCAGTAAGCTCTGGAGACTTATTTAGGAAACCTGGATAAGGAGCTGTATTTTTAGCCTGTGCCAGCTCCCTGGTAATGAGATGGGAGGGATTGTCAAGGTCTCGTTTTATTCATCAAACTGATATGTTTCCCAGGAACATTCTGGACGTGTGTTTCGGCTACAGTTTGATGAATTTCAGATCATCAGCAGCTCGCACGATGACACGATTTTGATTTGGGATTTCTTAAATGTGCCTCCCAGTGCCCAGAATGAGACCCGTTCTCCCTCCAGAACATACACTTACATCTCCAGATAACAGTCTGCACTTTACCCATTTCAGGTGAGTACTTCCCCACTTTTAACTTGGCTGATTGAGTCCACCTTCCCTTTGAGGAAGTAATAGGAACCAAAGTGATTAGTCTTTTTTAGAGGCATCAGTTTTGCTGAGTTCTAGTATAAGGCTAGATCTTTATGGTTACATCAAAATAAGGTTTGAATCAGAATCCCCATTATTGTGGGTTTTTGTGCCAGAAACTACGGTTCCTGTTTTTAAAACTGTTTTCCCAGGTCATGCCAATTTAATACCAGTAAAAATCCCCCAGTCTGTTTTGCAATATAAGGATCTTCTTTTTCTCTTTCTTTCCTGTCTTTCAGTTCTATGTTTAAAAAAAAAAAATCACCATCAATCAAACTCTTAAAACTACCTCTCCTTCCCCCTATTACAGTCCACCCACCACTGCCATTCCCTGAAGGAGGAGTCAAAGAAGGGTGTTTGTTGAGGGAGCCCCTAAAACTCACGTTTTATCCATGAAACTCAGCAGGTACCCTGGAGAGTTCTTTGCCCTGGTTACCGGCAGTCTTAAAGCCATTCTAACCATGGATGATGGCATGTTTTGATTACCAAGGTTATCCGTTAATAGAGGATGAGAGGCCTTCCTTGGCTGTGTTCTTGGAACTGATGATCATGTTCATCTGGTGCAGCAATCCCAGCTGAGAATTCTGCAAGGAGGCCTGTGCATTCTGTGCACACTAAACTTTGTAGATTGAAGAAATACTGTTGTGCATATTGTACTACCACATATGTAAAGACTGTTAATAAAATTCATATTTATGTACATTACTTAGTGCTTAGTAGCTTTTCATCATTGTATATTTTCCTATTAATTGAATATTAGAAATGTAAAGAAAGTCCATGTGTAGAATTGTGACATTTGTTGGTGAAAAGATACGGAATCACTGGTTTATAGATCACTAAGTTGATGACATCTTTTCAAATGCTCCTTATTTCTGCTCCAGGAAGTTTAACTTATTCAGGGGTCAACAAACTACAGCAGGTCAGATTTGACCCTCTGCCCAATCTTCTTTATCCTTACCACAGCAGTTTAAGAATAGTGTTTTGAAACAGTATTATTTTAAGACATGTGAAAATTATATAAAATTCAAATTCCAGTGCCCATAAATAGTTTTATTGGAAACAGTCATGTCTGTGTCTGTGCATCTGGCTCTTACCTTCTGTCCTCTATACGCTCTCCCACCCCAGCCACAGCTGTTGTCTATGGCGTTTTTCATGCTTCAGCGGCAGAGTTGAGCAGTAGTTGCAGCAGAGACCATGTGGCTGACAGCGTCTAAAATCTGTACACACTCTGACCCTTTAAGAAGAGTGTGCTGACCTCTGGTCTTGCCCTGTTCCGTCTATTAGTGATAGGCCAAGGGTCTGCATCAGGAATGGCCAGTGTTTTTCTTCATGCCAGCTCAGTTTGAGCAGCGGTGCCTGGCTGGGGTACTGCTGGTCAGTGGGGAGGATGACGGGACCCCGTGTGGACCCAGGAGGACTCGGCGCCACTGCGGGTTGGCCGCGCTCCTTGTGTCTAGGCGCTGAGCCACAGTGGTGACCCCTCAGTCCCTTACATCATTGCTGTTCCTGGCCTCAAGTGTGTTCATGCTGTCTCTTGTGGTAATGGCCGCCTCCCTCGCTGCTTTCTGTCTGGATAGATTCTTGACAAGTCAGTTGAGAAATTCACATGCCACACTTTTTATGTTTATTAAATTATAGGAAATTACAGAGGAAGAAGGCAAGGATCTCTTGAATGCTTGCTCATCCCTGCCTCAGCCTTCCTTCCCCCAAAGTCAAAGAAATACGTGAGGAATGGACCCAAACGAACACTGGTTTCCTCCTTCCTTCCTGGGCTTTTCTTCTCCCTCTTCAGCTCACCCTTGATCCAGCCACCAACTGTGGTTGTCTTAGCCCTGCCCCTGCCCTTCACTGGCTCCCTGTTGTCTCCAGGAACAAGGCTTAGCTAGGACTCGCTACCAGGACTTTCACCCTCTAGCTCTCACCGTCTGGCCTCTCCGCCCTCCCCCACCCCAGCCTCTCATTCTTCGCTCCCCAAAACCCAGTGCTCCAGGCAGACTGAATTCTGCTCGTCTCCCTCTTTACTCCTCAGACCTCTGGCCCCTTGCTCCCCTTGCTCGCGTTGTCAGGGCTTTGTAGAGGCCAGCACCCCGCCTCTGTCTTGGCCTGATCTGGCCTGGTTTATTCCTCGGTGTTGAAATGGTGTGCATGCCTGTCTCTTATAAGGCTGTGGCGCTCCTGTTTGTTCTGGAGCCCCAGGGCCTCACAGAGCGCACCGTGAGCGTGAGTGCTCACTGGCGTTGGTTGGCCAAGTGACTCCCGGGGCCAGCATGGCATCTCTGTGCTCTCTCTCCTCAGCCAACCAGAATCTGACCACAAGTAAGTGAGTGTGCTTAAGAAGCTGCAGTGTGTTCATGCAGGGACCTTCCGCAAACACAGAGAGAAAAACTCAGAAGACACTGGAATAAATTGTCCAGACTAGCCTAGTCAAAGTACTAGACATATCCTTCATGTACACGGGTGCCTAGGTGTACACATCTCCCTCTGCCCTTTCCCTTTCCCTTTGCTAAGCTCCATTTTTGTTTTTGAATCAATTTTATTGAGGTGTGGTTTTTATAAAACAGATTGTACCCACTTAAAGTATACTGTGTGACAAATTTACACACCCCTGCAGCTTCCTCCACAATCCAGATAAGAACATTTTTACCACCCCCAGAAGTTCCCTTGTGTCCTCCAGTCAGAACGTGATCCCACTGTAGCCTTAGCAAACACTGACCTTTCTTTCACTAGATTCATTTCGGTTTTCTACAGTTGCACCGTCCACTTTGGTAGTCATGAGCCATATGTAGCTTAGCTTGTGAAATGTGTCCAGTTTGATTTAGGAACTGAGTTTTTAATTACATTTAAATTGAATTGGATTTTTAATTATATTTAATTATACTTCATTTTAAACTTAAAACAGCTATACATGTAGCTAGTGACTACCGTGTTTGGACCAGCATCATTTTAAGAGCTTAGCCTTTACATTTAGGTCTTTGATCTATTTAGAGTTAATTTTTGTGTATAGTGTGAGGTAAGAATATCATTGTTCTTGTTTTGTTTACAGCCATCCCAGCTCTACTGGATTAAGAGACTATCCTCTTCCCATTGAATTGCTTTAGTACTCTGTCAAAAAATCAATTCCCCACTTGTTTGTAGTTGTTTTTCTGGCCTCTATTCTGTTCTATGATCTGTGGCTATCCTTTTGCCAATACCACACTCTATAATAAGTCAACTTTAAAAACATTGTTTTGATTCTTTTAGGTCCTTTTGGTTTACATACTCATTTTTGAATGAAATTGTCAAATTCTATGAAGATTATGGGATTATGATCAGAACCGCATTGAGTCTAAAGATCATTTGGGGAGAATTTCCGTCTTTAACAAATGTTGAGCCTTCTAATCCGTAAACCCGGTGTATCTCTTGATTTAAATCTTCGGTTTCTCTTAAGCAGTGTCTTGGCAGTTTTTAGTGTCGAAGTCTTGCACATTTTTTGTTAAGTTGATTCCATTTTGAACTTCCGTTCTAAGCTATACATTTCTCTCTCTGCATTGCTTTTGTTGTATCCCAGTGCCTCTGCTTTTATTTTTCCTATATTGGAGATACGTGTAAAACAGAACATGGACAACTCCAGCTGTGACCGACCTGAAATGGATGGGATCAGAGGAGTAGGTGTATCATACAGCGACTTAAATGTATCTCTTTGGTAGTTTTGAAATGTGCCACTCTACTAGAGAAGCACATGATAAAATCTAAGACATCTATAGTGTGTTTTCAACCCCCTCTGGCGTATTTGATAGATGAATTACAGAACAATAGTAAACTTTCACAAATTGGACAACTTTCATAGACTTTGTGAAACTGCCCAGAAACATGGTTCCTTTGATTGAGAGATGAAATAATGATCACCTGGGCTATCTCTCTCATTGGCTCTGGTGGAACGAAAACTGGTGTTACTTCTTCCAGTCCCTCCTCTCACCCCCTTTCTGGGAGCCTAAGAACAACTGCGTTGTTGTGATCCACAGTTACAAATCAGTGGAAAAATCTTATCTGCTTTTTAAGCAGCACAAGCATTGAAACCTCAAATGTGTTTGTCTCTTCAAAGTGAACTACTTTTGACAACTTTGGCAGTCAACTTTATAAATTTTATTGCTCTTTTCCAAGTTCTTTTCATTTATTGTAACAAGAAAAAATTATTACCATGTGATACTGTATGATTTATGCATAATAAGAAGCACTACCGTAATGATGATTTAACCTTGCAGTAAGATATTTATCCCTAAAATATAAGGTAAGAGTATTTCTCTGTCGGTAAATTAAGCAGTAGATTTATTTGCTGAGTCATTTTTTAAAAAAATTACTGACTTCTAAGAGCTGTATGTATACAGTAGCTCTCTTTTTTATTAGAAGACAATATGGGATCATTATTTGAAAATTAGTAAAAGTCGGTAAGCCAAAAGAAGAGAATAAATTCCTTGGTTTGCTATTATTAACTCCTTTGTATGTAGCCTTTCAGGTTTTTAAAAATTGTGGTTGATAACTGTGCTTCCCCCACCTCCCGCCCCCTTATTGTGAAATTATTGCCTGTTAGCAAGGTCACTGTTTATCTAAATTATTGTTCCTAATGGCAAAATAAAATACGATTGTTTGGATATGGCCCTATTGTTATATATTTATATTTTCCTCGCAGCTTTTAGCTATTATAAAACACATTGCCATGATTCTTTCAGCTTAGTCTGTGCCCAACCCTTTATTACCTTTGGATAGAATTTTAGAAACGTCTGCAGTGTCTAGGTTGAAAGGTATGATATTTAAGACTTTTGATACTTAAGAGTTACCCTGCAGAAGAGTTACATCTGTTGAAATTCCCACTAGTAGCATTTGAGAGTACTGACTTCTAATCTCTGAGTGTTAATATTTTTTAA